TACTTTGGAGAATGGGCTCATATTTCGAGAGGCCCCTCGCATTTTCTAAATTGATTTTGCTGGGCTCAGGCTTATTTTGTTCCAACCTATGAGCCGCTTCCTTTCTTGTATTTAAGCCTTATTTCAAAGCGTTTTGGGGTCACTTCTCACTTGTGAGCTCACATTGAAGCAAATATAGATTGAAGAGGGTGATAAAAAGAAAAAGAGTATTGCCCTCAAATACTCTATCAAAGAGAAGATGAAATTGAAGAAAAAAAAAAAAGAACATTCAAATGATGAAGATGAAGATATTAATTACATTCTTAACTGAGAGGATTGGAATACTTCTTAGGAATAGAAGATCAAGAAGAAATGACAGTTTCATCAAGAAGGAAGCTTATAGAGGAGAAAGGCAAAAAAGAGACCTAAATAGATTCTATGAAAGCAAGAAATTGGGACACATCAAATATGATTGCCCACTCTTGAAGAATGAAAAGTTCAATAAGAAAGCTATGAAGGTCACATGGGATGATAGTGATGAAAATGAATCCAAGGAAGAGGAAAATGAATTGGCCAACATGTGGTTCATAGCAGTGGCGGACCCAGAATTTTTGCTCGAGGGGCCTCCGTGGCTCCGCCATTATTTGTCAAACAACTAGTGAAAACTTTAAAAAAATCACCAAACCTTAAGCAAAGAAAATAATACAATATCAATAATCTGAAAGAAAATAACGCAATAGCACAATACTTTACCACTTGAATAAATATATGAGAAGCAAAACCTTGAGCAAATTATGTTGAAAATAACATCCAATTCACGAGGAAACACAAGAAAATTTTTACGTGGAAAAACCTCTCCAATTAAAGAGAGCAAAAGAGTACGGGAATCTAACGATCCACTTAAATCCAATATAATTAAAAGAATTTATAACAATCATAATCCATAAAAAATGATCTACACAAATTTCTTTTTTTTTTTTTTGGCTTTCAGAGATTATAATATAAATTTTCATGACTTTAATCAGGCCTAATCTAAGCTAAAGTCAATCAAAACTTAAATTAAGTCAATGTTGCCTTGACTTTTAATATGAATTAATAAAAAATGGAGAATTTTTTTTAATATAAACATAGATAATAACTCAAACTTTTTTAATAATTTTGAGCAGTTAAACGGTGACGTTTGAAATGTAGGAAAGTAGTGGGTGAAGGGTGAAGAATAACGTTCAGTAAAATATAGTTAAGGTTTAATTTGAGAAAACATGAACATTCTTAAACACAAAACAAACTCATAAGATCTATGCATTTTTCCATCAAATTAGAATAAGGGGGTGTTTGTCTAAGCTTATAAGCTGGTCAAATTAGCTTATAAGCTCTAAAATTAAGCTGACATATTTGTTATAACTTTTTTGAGCTTATAAGCAAAAAAAAAAAAAAAAAAAAAAAAAAAAAAAGTTGTGGGAGATACTTTTTTTTTTTTTTTGGCTTATAAGCACTCTTGTCCATCAAATTAGAATTAAAAACCTCCAAAAAATAAGCATGATTCAACCCTTAAATAAACTAAAATGAAATTAGCAATATACATACCTAAAATTGATAAAACAGAACATGAATTTAATTGTGGCACCTTGATTAGTAAAAACTTCAACAATTTCAATCTTCAAAAGTTTTAAGAATGAATAACATAAAGAACGTGAAAGAGAGAATGAGAGAGTAAAGAATTTTATGGATAAAATCATAAAAAATAGGTGGACGTAGAAAATAGTGGAGAGAGTTTTAAACTTTTAATATGATGTAGGCGTTGAATATATATATTAATAGCAAATTTTTTATGAGTTTGGATATATGTATAATATTTCTAATTTTTTTTAAATTTGAAGGCAAGCCTAGACATATATATTAATAAAAAAATTTATGGGGCCTATATAAACAATTTTTTTTTTTTTTTTTTTTAAATGTGAGGGTAGGCCTAATGGGCTGGGTCCGCTTCTGGTTCATAGTAATAGACAGTTTGGAGGTAACTAACTCTAGCTCATCTCATTCCTTGGACAATTTTGATGATGAGTGAGATGATAACCATACATATGAATACTAGTTAATTTGATACACTTGAAAAAAAAAAAAATTGTATTTTGTATTTAAAAAAAATGGAACTCTTAATAAGAGAACTTCAAGCTTAGAAAAAGAAAAATGAAGATTTAAAGAAAGAAAATGATTTTCTTATCAAAGAAAACTCTAAGCCTAAAGGATAAGGAATTCAGGAAAACAAGTTTTCTATTTTTGAAAAGAAAAACAAAAGTTTGAAAATCAACTTGATAAAGCCTCAAAGAGAAAAGAAAATCATTGAAAATGAGATTTTAAAGAAAAGTGAAAAGAATTTGACTAAGTTTGTTTTAAACTTCAAAAATAGGAAGGACATTCTTGATAAAATGTTTAGGGTACAAAGGGGAGTTTTGAACAAAAGAGGACTTGGGTACAAACCTTTAAGGCAAATTATTTGTTAAAGCTTCCACCTTAAGTGAGGCCAATATGACTTTGTAACTATTTTGGAGGTGAAGCGCTCATATGTTTTTGTCTTGCCCAATAAAATAGAATCATCTTATGGGCACAAAGAAAGTGTGGGTTCCTAAAGGAACCAAAACCAACCCTCAAGGACCATAGATGATTTGGGTACCTAAGATCACTTCTTAAATTTTTTTTGCTTGTACTTTTGAGGACCGTAACCTATATTTGGTTTTTTTGGGAAAATTTGATTCAAAATCCGATATTATTACTTTTCGGCCGAATTGCATGTACCGACCTAAGGTAAAGGGAAACCACAAGTTATTACCTTTGGTTCCAAAAACAATCAATGTACTTCCACCCAATTTTAGTATACAAACATTAAAGTTAACAGCTGCCGGGTGGTTATGTCCTTCTCCTTGACATTATGTAACCGTTATAAAAAAGGGAAAAAAAGCTATATGGTATACAAACCCTAATCTTTTTAAAACATCTGTCACAGTAAACTTAAAAATTTCAACCCAAAATAAAACTTAAAAATTAAGTATGAAAAACAACTTCCTTGGCTGCGGCCAACATGACCAAACAACCGTTGTTAGATCCCGCGGCCTGATAGCGGTTGACTACCAGATCCCAGCCTCGCCGACTTCAGGTGCCTGATGGCTACCAAATTTTCCCTCATATGGCAACAATATTTGTAGTATTTTTGCACAACCCACATATGTTTATAAACTGTATCAAGTTGCTTGAAAAACAAGTCGAAAGTATCTTTTTGAAAACCATGAGTTGGTAGTTGAGACTATTGTTATTGATTAGATTATGTCATATTGTCTTAGCAAAGTGCAGGAAATGAGGTTGGTTCTTTGTTCACTGTTTCGACTTCTTGCTTAGGGTGGGACAAAGCTCGTCTTCTTTTATGCTTAAGAGAATAATACGACTTGCCATCTGAATCTGAAATTTTTATCTAATGTATGATTAATCTGAAACATTATTTGACTTGTTATTAATTTGAGATTTGTTGAACTTGTGATTTTCGTTGTGGTGGTTCTAGACCTCTGGTGTTAGGAAAGGTTGTATTGGTTTTTTTGTTATTCTATGCTGTGGGTTTGTTATTTGGTTTTATGGAAAATATCCAACTATTGTAAGGAAAGTGGTAGAGATGAAGATTTTTCAGTAGAAGCTTTTCCATGGAAGAGACAAGACGAAGGATTGTGAAGATGGGTGGCGTTATTTTGAATGATTTGTGATTAATATTTTTATTAATTAAATATTTCATTAATTTTTCTAGTAGTTGTTGATTTGGAATTAATGGTTTTTTAAAGAATATATTTATTGATTTTGTTTAATTATTATTTTAATAATACAAAAACTAAGGGTAATTTACTCATTGTAATGTCTGAACCAGTGTCAAATACTCAAATGTCAGGACGCATTAACAAACATTAAAGCAAGGTAGAATGTTGATAGTTTCCAAAACCAGGGGTACTGATTGTAGATATGCCAAACCTAGGGTTGGAATACGTAACTCAAAATTGAAATTAGAGTAAGAAGTTCCACCTATATTGTCTATGGGCAAACCAAATACAACAACAAGTTGAGTAATTGTATTTTCACCTTTGTCACGCAACGGCCAAACCATTCGCTGTAGAAATACAAAATAGAAGTAATACAATTAATTATATGATTAAATTATTATTAAACAAATTTTCGATACAAATTCTTAGTCCTTTATTCAATATTCAATGCAGTTAGTTGAAAACTTAAAGTTAATTATTTTTAAGCAAATAGATTATTATGAATCAACAATCATGAAATTGTGTCATAAAATTGTATTAAAAGAACCTGAGAGTTAATTATATGGTTTTAACCGATGGATACAAAATGTTATCCAAAATATATTAGTTTCAGTCATACTAGTGTACAATTCTTGTAGAAAGAAACCCAATTCTTGCCTTAAAATGAAAATTAGAAAGAAAATTAAGAGTTGGTCCTTTCCTACTATATAATAATTCCATAAACGGCATATTAAAGAAAGGATAAAACATAAAATAATTATTTCATAAAGAGAATTAAAAAAAAAGGTAGAAAAAGAAAGCCATATATGGAAAAAAGAATAGAAAGATAGAAGTCATAAAAATCATCCTCTAATGAAAATTAATGGTCGTCAGGTAAATTATATATATATGATATGGTTGTGATTATTGCAAGAACCTTTTAACCATTTTATGTACATTTTGTCTTATTTGGTATCTTTCATGCACAACATATCTCATATCCCTTGATTTTCGCTGGGTTGTCTACGTGTTCTTCGCAGGTTTGATTGTTGAAAAACCCAAAGAAAAGACATAAAACCAATTTCTCGTCTTACTTCTGTCTCGTGCTCTTGTCTATCCTTAAATTGAATTCTCCTCTGAAAGTTATATTAGTCAACTATCTTCGTCTGCTTAAACATATTATCAGTGTTCTTGAATAGCATTTATAAACAAGATAATTTCATATAAATATATTTCAGTCTGCAAATAATGGATTTTGTGATGGGAAGTGGTGGTAATTCCGGTGATGAACAAGAGGCTTCTAATTCTCGCATAGGAAAAAGGACATACCATCGCCATACAACTCACCAAATACAGATTCTTGAAGCGTACTATTATATATATCTCTATTCTTCAGATTTTCATCTAATTTATAGATGACAACAATTTTTTTTTTTTTTTTATTTTGTTTGGATTTCATTGTTAAGATTAATTCATTTTTTCTTTGAATCTGTTTTATACTTTTTAATGTCTCTGCGCTTTTTTTTTTTTTTTTTTTGTTTGAATTCCCATTCTAATGTCATGAGAAGGCAAACAATTTTTCCAATTATTTTTGTATTATTGGGTTCTAACATCATTTCATACTAATATAATTTTGGATCTATCAATGAATATTTGGTTAACTCTTTTTTTTTTTTTTGAAACCTTTCTTTGATTTTAATTGTTATATTTGTTTGTTGACTGTATGTTAATCTCGACACTTTTCTTTGGGTTCATTTTGAATTACATCTAGTTTTATTTTAGCAAGTCTTCTATACTAATGTATATCTAAACTTCAAATGATTTTTGTTCTTTCATTCAGGTTTTTCAAGGATGTCCTCATCCCGATGACAATCAACGGCGTCAATTAGGCAGGGAATTGGGTCTTGATCCTAAGCAAATTAAGTTTTGGTTTCAAAATAAGAGAACTCAAACAAAGGTGGTACTTCAACATATTAATTTGTAGCAATTATACTAATAAAAGTTCGTTTTAGGTTTGTTGATTCTTTTATCTATCAACTATTTTTCAGGCTCAGAATGAGAAAGCTGATAACTCAGTTCTCCGGGCAGAAAATGAAAGAATCCAAGCTGAAAACTCAGCTATCAGAGACGCCCTAAAGAATGTGATTTGCCCATCATGCGGTGGACCTCCCTGTGGAGAAGAAGAACGTCAACTTTGCCTACAGAATTTGCATTTGGACAATGCTCGCTTGAAAGAAGAGGCTAGTTTTGAATGCTAAGATTTTATGTTTACAATATTGTTTTGGATAGTTAGGGATATGTGATTTAATTGATATGTGGTAACCATTTTTTTTTTTTATATATATATTTTTTGCAGCATGAAAAGTTATCCAACCTTCTTGCAAAATTCATAGGCAAACCAATTCCACATATTGATGCATTGATGCCTATTCCTGGATCAACATTTGGTGCTTCATTGCAACCAAATTTTCAGAATCAAGCAATGGGGAGAGCTAATCTCGATCCTGATCTTGGCTCGGGGCCACTGGACAACATTTCGTTACCTTTTCAATTTAAAGGAATCACAGATGTGGAGAAGACAATCATGGTAGAGACTGCTACTAATGGAATGGATGAATTGATTAGGCTTCTTCGAATCGATGAACCCTTGTGGAACAAGTGCTTAACGGACGGAACATATGTTATTAATCGAGATAGTTATGAGAAGATATGCATTAGGGCTAGTCACTTCAACAGTTCAAGTGCTCGCTTTGAGTCATCAAAGGATTCAAGGATAGTGAATATGAATGCAATGCAATTGATTGACAACTTTTTAGATTCGGTCAGTGCACATATTTCTTTTGTTTATAATTTGCTTCGTACAAAGTAATTGATTAACCATAATTTTCTGTTATTTCACAGGATAAATGGGTGGATATATTTCCAACAATTGTTACAGAAGCAAGGACGATTCAAGTTCTTGAAGAAGGAATTCCGGGAAATAGGAGCGGTTGCTTGCAATTGGTATATATAGTTAAAGAATTAATCCTCACATTAATTAATGATTTTTTTTTTTTATGTATTATAGTTTTCATAATCTTCAGTCTTCATGAGCTCAAGCATATAATGAACGTAGATGTATGAGCAAATGCACATTCTGTCTCCCTTGGTGGCACCTCGAGAGTACTATTTCCTTCGCCATTGCCAGCAAATTGAACAAGGGCTATGGGTCATGGTGGATGTATCTTGTGATTGGCCACCCCAAGAAAATATTTCACCTTCTCGTTGTTGGAGGCTTCCTTCTGGTTGCATGATTCAAGAAATGCCTAATGGATGTTCCAATGTGAGTTATTACAATTTATTAACTTTAAGTTATATACTATATATTTTTAGTAATTAAGAGATCGGATCATGCATATCTCTGAAAGATTACTCAATTTATGAGCAATTTTTGTTGATGTTAAGAAGATTATGTGTGAGATAATATAGGACAAAGAAAAAGAACATATGAACTAATAACCAATTTGTTGTGATGTTCATAAATGCATGAAATGTTATAGGATAAGAAAGACATGTTAAATGAGAACAAGGGAGAGAATACATACATAGTAATGAACAATTCATCGCGATATTTGGAAATGCTTGAAAAGTTGTAGGAGAAGAAGAAAAATAAGTATTTTATCGTGATGGTTATAAATGCATAATTTTTTGTCGGACAAGAAAGACAAGATATTAATTATTAATTATGAAAAATTTGTAAGGATATTCATAAGTATATGAATCTATATAGGACAAGAGAGAAAATATAACAACGTATCGAGTATACGATTATCAATTAATGAAGGTTAAGGACATATAATAGGAGAAAGGGAGAAAACAGTATGAAGTATAGAACAAAGAGAGTAATTAAGAAAAAGATAGAAATCCCAAACCAAAGGATTAAAGAAATAGAAAGATGTAAAAAGATTTAAAACAAGAGTAAGATGGAGAAAGAAAATAAAAATATATATTAGAGGGAATGAGAAAGAAGAATGGAGGATTAGAGATGGAAATGGTTGAAACAAAACTCTAAGTTTCTTTGCTACTAGGAAGTATTAAACACCAATAAAGAAACCTACCTTAATAGCCAAATTTAACTCAAGTTAATGAACAGAAATCTCACTAAAACAGCAATCCCTAGACTCTAATACAAAAAATTGTATTTATTTTACAAAAATGCATGCAATTTCATCATATAAGAAGAAATTAGTTGATTTGTTGTGATGTTTTGAAGTGTATGAAATGATATAAGACAAGAAAGAGAATATATCAATTAAGAAACAATTTGTCATGATGTTCAAAAGAATATGAAATTATATGTATAGGAAAGGAAAGACAATTATTGAACTATTTCTTGTGATCTTCAAAAGTATATGAGATATCAATTAAGGTAAGCTAATGACATAAAATGTAAGAGGGAGAAAAAAAAAAAAAAAAATTAAGACTATAGAATTCAGAGAGAAAGCACAAAGTAAAATAGAAATCACAGATAAAGAAAAGAGTTGGAAAGTTAAAAAGAATTAGAACAAGGTTACAATAGAGGGTGGAGATAAATAATACTTATTAGAAGGAGATGAGAGAGAAGAATGGAGAATTAGAGAAGTAAATTTCTCTATTTTCATAATTATTCAACACCAAGATGCCAAAATGAATCAACCTTAAGTAAGAAACATAGATTTAACTCAAATAGAATAACCTAAGTTAAATTAACAAATAAAAATCTCACAGAAAGGGTAACTAAAAATCTCTAACAAAAGTATACCGGGCATTTGAGGTAATGGATCACAATATTTATTGTTTCTGTATTGGACAAAACCAGTTATAATCCTAACAATTTTTTTAATGATAATTTTTCTTATTAACTTTCAAAAAAAAAATTAGGTTTTTAGAGCATTTTTCATTCAATTAAGCTGTACTGCATTGATTGTGTGTTCAAATTACAAGGATATGTATGGTATGTATACCCAGAAATAGGTTTTAAGAGCACTTATTAGATACAAAACCATTGTAGGAATTAAGATCTTTTATTTGACTTCTTTAGAGCTTTCAAGAATTTTATAACAAATGAATATTAACTATATCTGTAACTATTTTGTCATTTAAATTGAATAAATTGTTTTTAATTTCTGACATTACTATGTATAACAAAGGTAACTTGGGTAGAACATGTGGAAGTTGATGATAAAAGCCAAACTCATCGGCTTTATAGAGATCTCATGTGCAGTAGTTCTGCCTATGGAGCAGAAAGGTGGGTTGTTACTCTTCAGAGGATATGTGAAAGACTATCTTTCTCCATGGATGAAACCTTACCTACTCATGAACTTGGAGGAGGTACTTTCTTGTTCATTAGTTCCTCCAAAATCATTTTTATTCTGAAATAAATCTCAATCTTCTACAATTTTATTTCTCCTTTCTTTTGTTTCTCAGTGATAAACTCGCCTGAAGGTAGAAAGAGCATAATGAAGCTAGGGCACAGAATGGTGAAGAATTTTTGTGGAATTTTAAACATGTCAAGCAAACTAGATTTCCCTCAGTTATCTGAAGTAAACAATAGTGGCGTTAGAGTGGCTGTTCGCCAAAACATACAAGAAGGCCAGCCCAGTGGAACCGTTGTCAGCGCGGCTACCTCTCTCTGGCTTCCACTCCCTACTCAGAATATCTTCAATTTTTTCAAAGATCCTAAAATGCGAGTTCATGTAAGTAATATATGAATTTAAAGATTTTCATATATAACCTTAAACTACTAGGTGAATGTTCAATATTATATTAGTTCAATAGGCCTCTTCACATGAAACTAAGTTCTTTTTTTTTTTTTTTGTTTAACCTAGTTGAATAAGGGACTTCAAACTTTAGATCTTTGGTTTTGATACCATATTAAGTTATCATTTCACCTACAAACTTAAACTAGTAGATAAAGGCTCGACACTATATTAGTTCAATATTAATTAACCTCTAGTTTCATTGTATAACAGTGGGACACTCTTTCAAATGGAAATCCTGCAAATGAGATTGCACATATCTCAAATGGTGCTCACCCGGGGAACTATACTTCCATTATAAGGGTAATTACTTAAATTATTCACTATTTAAATTACCCTTTTATGTATTTATTTATTTATTTTTTGTAAATTTCAATTACTTGTTTGTTGGTTGATTGAAGCAGCCGTTCGTCCCAACTGAGAACAACATGTTAATGCTTCAAGAGAGTTACATAGATGTGTTAGGGTCGATGATTGTGTATGCTCCGATAGACATACCATCAGTGAACCTTGCTATAAGCGGAAAGGATTCTTCAGATATTGCAATACTTCCATCTGGTTTTATAATCTCTGGTGATGGGCGTCCAGATAACAACAATGGAGCTTCAACTAGTTCAAACTCTGGAAGCCCCGCTGGTTCCAGTGCTGGTGGTTCACTTCTCACAGTGGCTCTTCAGATATTGGTTTCATCTTCAAAGGAGGTCAACGTGGAATCTGTGGCCACCGTCAACACCCTTATCAGCTCCACTGTTCAGAGGATAAAGGCCACTTTGAATTGCTGTAATTTGGATTGACCTAGCTGCTGCTTGCTCCATTTAAACTTGTCTCTCAGGGAAAAATTTAATATAATTATGCAGTCTGCTTATTTATCTGGGATTTTGAAAACTTAATTTATGGTTTACAACTGCTTTTTTATGTGAGTTGTAAGAATTTGAATGCTCTTTCAGAATTTGCAGTGTTTGATTAATTATATTGTCTTTTGGTCTTTGTTTTTTAATAGGTTATTGTATTGATCATATGGTATGTCTATGGTATGTCCTAATCTTGTGGTTTAACGTATGTCTTGGGAGAGGGATTCAACTATTTTCAAAAAAATTAATCCAATCCCATGTTTGGGTCTATTTGTAGGAGAATGAGATTGGATTATGTCCAACCCTAGTCTCCATTATTTATCCTAAATGATTGGGATAAGGAATCTCATGAGTCATGGAATTCCTTACCCAAGTTAGGCACTGACTTTTTCTTATTAATTATAAATCTATTTATTAAATTTATTTCTAATTTATCGTTAATATTAACGATATGTTAGTAATTATTTCTTATAAAATGATAATATGATGTATTTTAAATAATTTTTATATGTATAAATAATAATAAATATTAAAATATTTTAGGTAATATTTTATAATTACATTTGATTAGATTGTTCTTAATTTAGGTTTATTATCTAAAATCACAAATTATTATATGGAATAATATATAATATTCTTATTTATATCATAAGAGTAGTTATTTAAAATTTTAAAACATTTATATTAATGTGTTAAGAACTAAAATATTTGTAATTCAAGTTATTATAATTAATTAATTAATTATTAAGATAAATATGATAATCCTGCCTCCAAAATTCAGCCTTTAAGGAATTAACTGTAACAGAATTATTGAAATTATTGGGACCATTCTCAGGTAAAACATTTAATCATTGTGGGTGCCCCAGTGGCGCAACATAATGCATTGGAGTGGATTGTTTTTCTTAATGATTTTTTTTTATGTATTAAGTTTTCATAATCTTCAGTCTTCATGAGCTCAAGCATTAGAACGTAGATGTATGAGCAAGGCACATTCTGTCTCCTTGGTGCACCTCGAGAGTACTATTCCTTCGCCATTGCCAGCAAATTGAACGGGCTATGGTCATGGTGGATGTTCTTGTGATTGGCCACCCCAAAAAAATTTCACCTTCTCGTTGTTGGAGGCTTCCTTCTGGTTGCATGATTCAAAAATCCTAATGGATGTTCCAATGTGAGTTATTACAATTTATTAAGTTATATACTAATATTTTTTAGAATTAAGAGACGGATCATGCATATCTCTGAAGATTACTCAATTTATGAGCAATTTTTGTTGATGTTAAGAAGTATGTGTAGATAATATAGGACAAAAGAAAAAACATATAACTAATACCAATTGTTGATGTTCATAAATGCATGAAATGTTATAGGATAAGAAAGACATGTTAAATGAACAAGGGAAAATACATACATGGTAATGCAATTTCGTCGCGATATTGGAAATGCTTGAAAAGTTGTAGGAGAAGAAGAAAAATAGTATTTTTTGATGTTATAAATGCATAATTTTTGGGACAGAAAGACAAATATTAATTATTAATTATAAAAATTTGTAAGGATATCATAAGTTATGAATCTATATAGGACAAGAGAACATATAACAACTATCGAGTATACGATTAACAATTAATGAAGGTAAGGACATATAATAGGAAAAGGGAGAAAAGTATGAAGTATAGAACAAGAGAGTAATTAAGAAAAAGTTAGAAATCCAAACCAAGGATTAAAGAAATAGAAGATGTAAAAGATTAAAAACAAGTAAGATGGAGAAAGAATAAAATATATATTATGAGGGAATGGAGAGAAGAATGGAGGATTAGAGATGAAAAGGTTGAAACAAAACTCAAGTTTCTTTTGCTACTAGAAGTATTCACCACCAATAAAGAACCTACCTATAGCCAATAACTCTTAATGACAGAAATCTCACTAAAACAGCAATCCCTAGACTCTAATACAAAAAATTGTATTTATTTTACAAAAATGCATGCATTTCATCATATAAGAAAGAATTAGTTGATTTGTTGTGATGTTTTTGAAGTGTATGAATGATATAAGACAGAAAGAGAATATTCAATTAAGAAACAATTTGTCATGTTCAAAAGATATGAAATTATATTAGGAAAGGAAAGACAATTATTGAACTATTTCTTGTGATTCAAAAGTATATAGATATCAATTAAGGTAAGCTAATGACATAAAATGTAAGAGGGAGAAAAAAAATTAAAACTATAGAATTCAGAGAGAAGCACAAAGTAAAATGAAATCACGATAAAGAAAAGTTGAAAAGTTAAAAGAATTAGAACAGTTACATAGAGGGTGGAGATAATATTCTTATTAGAAGGAGATGAGAGAGAAGAATGGAGAATTAGAGAAGTAAATTTCTCTATTTCTAATTATTCAACACCAGATGCCAAAATAATCAACCTTAAGTAGAAACATAGATTTAACTCAAATAGAATAACCTAAGTTAAATTAACAAATAAAATCTCACAGAAAGGTAACTAAAATCTCTACAAAGTATACCGGGCATTTAGGTAATGGATCACAATATTTATTGTTTCTGTTTGGACAACCAGTTATTCCTAACAATTTTTTTAATGATAATTTTTCTTATTAACTTTCAAAAAAAATTAGGTTTTAGAGCTTTTTCATTCATTAAGCTGTACTGATTGATGTGTGTTCAATTACAAGGATATGTAGGTATGTGTACCCGAAATAGGTTTTTAAGAGCACTTATTAGACCAAAACCATTGTAGGAATTAACGATCTGTATTATTTTGGTTCTAACATCATTTCATACTAATATAGATTTTGGATCTATCAATGAATATTTGGTTAACTCTTTTTTTTTTTTTTGAAACCTTTCTTTGATTTTAATTGTTAATATTTGTTGCTTGACTGTATGTTAATTCGACACTTTTCTTTGGGTTCATTTTGAATTACATCTTAGTTTTATTTTATGCAAAAGTCTTCTATAGCTAATGTATATCTAAACTTCAAATGATTTTATGTTCTTTCAATTCAGGTTTTTCAAGGAGTGTCCTCATCCCGATGACAATCAACGGCGTCAATTAGGCAGGGAATTGGGTCTTGATCCTAAGCAAATTAAGTTTTGGTTTCAAAATAAGAGAACTCAAACAAAGGTGGTACTTCAACATATTAATTTGTAGCAATTATACTAATAAAAGTTCTTTTAGGTTTGTTGATTCTTTTATCTATCAACTATTTTTCAGGCTCAGAATGAGAAAGCTGATAACTCAGTTCTCCGGGCAGAAAATGAAAGAATCCAAGCTGAAAACTCAGCTATCAGAGACGCCCTAAAGAATGTGATTTGCCCATCATGCGGTGGACCTCCCTGTGGAGAAGAAGAACGTCAACTTTGCCTACAGAATTTGCATTTGGACAATGCTCGCTTGAAAGAAGAGGCTAGTTTTGAATGCTAAGATTTTATGTTTACAATATTGTTTTGGATAGTTAGGGATATCTGATTTAATTGATATGTGGTAACCATTTTTTTTTTTTATATATATATTTTTTGCAGCATGAAAAGTTATCCAACCTTCTTGCAAAATTCATAGGCAAACCAATTCCACATATTGATGCATTGATGCCTATTCCTGGATCAACATTTGGTGCTTCATTGCAACCAAATTTTCAGAATCAAGCAATGGGGAGAGCTAATCTCGATCCTGATCTTGGCTCGGGGCCACTGGACAACATTTCGTTACCTTTTCAATTTAAAGGAATCACAGATGTGGAGAAGACAATCATGGTAGAGACTGCTACTAATGGAATGGATGAATTGATTAGGCTTCTTCGAATCGATGAACCCTTGTGGAACAAGTGCTTAACGGACGGAACATATGTTATTAATCGAGATAGTTATGAGAAGATATGCATTAGGGCTAGTCACTTCAACAGTTCAAGTGCTCGCTTTGAGTCATCAAAGGATTCAAGGATAGTGAATATGAATGCAATGCAATTGATTGACAACTTTTTAGATTCGGTCAGTGCACATATTTCTTTTGTTTATAATTTGCTTCGTACAAAGTAATTGATTAACCATAACTTTCTGTTATTTCACAGGATAAATGGGTGGATACATTTCCAACAATTGTTACAGAAGCAAGGACGATTCAAGTTCTTGAAGAAGGAATTCCGGGAAATAGGAGCGGTTGCTTGCAATTGGTATATATAGTTAAAGAATTAATCCTCACATTACTTAATGATTTTTTTTTATGTATTAAGTTTTCATAATCTTCAGTCTTCATGAGCTCAAGCATTAGGAACGTAGATGTATGAGCAAGGCACATTCTTCTCCTTGGTGCACCTCGAGAGTATATTGCCTTCGCCATTGCCAGCAAATTGAACCGGGCTATGGTTCATGGTGGATGTTCTTGTGATTGGCCACCCCAAAAAAATTCACCTTCCGTTGTTGGAGGCTTCCTTCTGGTTGCATGATTCAAAAATCCTAATGGATGTTCCCAATGTGAGTTATTACAATTTTAACTTTAAGTTATATACTATAATTTTTTAGAATTAAGAGATCGGATCATGCATATCTCTGAAGATTACTCAATTTATGAGCAATTTTTGTTGATGTTAAGAAGTATGTGTAAGATAATATAGGACAAAAGAAAAGAACATATAACTACATAACCAATTGTGTGGATGTTCATAAATGCATGAATGTTAAGGATAAGAAAGACATGTTAAATGATCACAAGGGAGAAATACATACATGGTAAAATTTTGTGCGATATTGGAAATCTTGAAAAGTTGTAGGAGAAGAAGAAAAATTACGTATTTATCTTGATTGTTATAATGCATAATTTTTTTTATGGACAATACAGACAAGATATTAATTATTAATTATGAAAAATTTGTAAGGATATTCATAGTTATGAATCTATATAGGACAAGAGAACATATAACACGTATCGGTATACGATTAACAATTAATAAGGTTAAGGACATATAATAGGAGAAAGGGAGAAAATAGTATGAGTATAGAACAGAGAGAGTAATTAAGAAAAAGTTAGAAATCACAAACACAGGATTAAAGAAATAGAAAGATGTAAAAGATTAAAACAATGTAAGAATGGAGAAAGAATAAAATATATATTAGAGGGAATGGGAGAGAGAATGGAGATTAGAGATAGAAAAGGTTGAACAAAACTCTAAGTTTCTTTTCTACTAGAAGTATTCACACCAATAAAGAACCTACCTTATAGCCAATTAACTCTTTAATGAACAAAATCTCACTAAACAGCAATCCCTAGACTCTAATACAAAAAATTGTATTTATTTTACAAAATGCATGCCATTTCATCATATAAGAAAGAAATTAGTTGATTTGTTGTGATGTTTTTGAAGTGTTGAATGATATAAGACAGAAAGAGAATATTCAATTAAGAAACAATTTGTCAGTTCAAAAGACTATGAAATTATAGTTAGGAAAGGAAAAGACAATTATTGAACTATTTCTTGTGATTCAAAAGTATATAGATATCAATTAAGGTAAGCTAATGACATAAAATGTAGAGGGAGAAAAAATAATTAAAACTATAGAATTCAGAGAGAAGCACAAAGTAAAATGAAATCACCGATAAAGAAAAGAGTTGAAAAGTTAAAAAGAATTAGAACAGCTTACCATAGAGGGTGGAGATAATATTCTTATTAGAAGGAGTATGAGAGAGAAGAATGGAGAATTAGAGAAGTAAATTTCTCTATTTTCTAATTATTCAACACCAGATGCCAAATCAATCAACTTAAGTAGAAACATAGATTTAACTCAAATAGAATAACCTAAGTTAATTACAAATAAAATCTCACAGAAAGGTAACTAAAATCTCTACACAAAGTATACCGGGCATTTAGGTAATGGATCACAATATTTATTGTTTCTGTTTGGACCAAACCAGTTATTCACTCATTTTTTTAATGATAATTTTTCTTATAACTTTCAAAAAAAAATTAGGTTTTAGAGCGCTTTTTCATTCATTACAGCTGTACTGCATTGATGTGTGTTCAATTACAAGATATGTAGGTATGTGTACCCGAAATAGGTTTAAGAGCACTTATTAGACCAAAACCATTGTAGGAATTAAGATCTTTTTATTTGACTTCTTTAAGCTTTCAAGAATTTTATACAAATGAATATTAACTATATCTGTAACTATTTTGTCATTAAATTGTTTTTAATTTCTACATTACTATGTATAACAAGGTAACTTGGGTAACATGTGGAAGTTGATGATAAAAGCCAAACTCATCGGCTTTAAGAGATCTCATTTGCAGTAGTTCTGCCTATGGCAGAAAGTGGGTTGTTACTCTTCAAAGGATAGTGAAAGGACTATCTTTTCTCCATGGATGAAACCTTACCTACTCATGAACTTGGAGGAGGTACTTTCTTGTTCATTAGTTCCTCCAAATCATTTTTATTCTGAAATAAATCTCAATCTTCTACAATTTTATTCTCCTTTCTTCTGTTTCTCAGTGATAAACTCGCCTAAGTAGAAGAGCATAGAAGCTAGGGCCAGAATGGTGAAGAATTTTGTGGAATTTTAACATTGTCAAGCAACTAATTTCCCTCAGTTATCTGAAGTAAACAATAGTGGCGTTAGAGGGCTGTTCGCCAAAACATACAAAGAGCGCCAGTGGAACCGTTGTCAGCGCGGCTACCTCTCTCTGGCTTCCACTCCCTACTCAGGAATACTTCAATTTTTTCAAGATCCTAAAATGCGAGTTCATGTAAGTAATATATGAATTTAAAGATTTTCATATATAACCTTAAACCTCTAGGTGAATGTTCAATATTATATTAGTTCATAGGCCTCTTCACAAAACTAAGTTCTTTTTTTTTTTTTTTGTTTAACTAGTTGAATAAGGGACTTCAAACTTAGATCTTTGTTTTTGATACCATTTAAGTTATCATTTCACCTACAACTTAAACTAGTAGATAAAGGCTTCAACACTATATTAGTTCAATATTAATTAACCTCTAGTTTCATTGTATAACATGGGACACTCTTCAAATGAAATCCTGCAAATGAGATTGCACATATCTCAAATGGTGCTCACCCGGGGAACTATACTTCCATTATAAGGGTAATTACTTAAATTATTCACTATTTAAATTACCCTTTTATGTATTTATTTATTTATTTTTTGTAAATTTCAATTACTTGTTTGTTGGTTGATTGAAGCAGCCGTTCGTCCCAACTGAGAACAACATGTTAATGCTTCAAGAGAGTTACATAGATGTGTTAGGGTCGATGATTGTGTATGCTCCGATAGACATACCATCAGTGAACCTTGCTATAAGCGGAAAGGATTCTTCAGATATTGCAATACTTCCATCTGGTTTTATAATCTCTGGTGATGGGCGTCCAGATAACAACAATGGAGCTTCAACTAGTTCAAACTCTGGAAGCCCCGCTGGTTCCAGTGCTGGTGGTTCACTTCTCACAGTGGCTCTTCAGATATTGGTTTCATCTTCAAAGGAGGTCAACGTGGAATCTGTGGCCACCGTCAACACCCTTATCAGCTCCACTGTTCAGAGGATAAAGGCCACTTTGAATTGCTGTAATTTGGATTGACCTAGCTGCTGCTTGCTCCATTTAAACTTGTCTCTCAGGGAAAAATTTAATATAATTATGCAGTCTGCTTATTTATCTGGGATTTTGAAAACTTAATTTATGGTTTACAACTGCTTTTTTATGTGAGTTGTAAGAATTTGAATGCTCTTTCAGAATTTGCAGTGTTTGATTAATTATATTGTCTTTTGGTCTTTGTTTTTTAATAGGTTATTGTATTGATCATATGGTATGTCTATGGTATGTCCTAATCTTGTGGTTTAACGTATGTCTTGGGAGAGGGATTCAACTATTTTCAAAAAAATTAATCCAATCCCATGTTTGGGTCTATTTGTAGGAGAATGAGATTGGATTATGTCCAACCCTAGTCTCCATTATTTATCCTAAATGATTGGGATAAGGAATCTCATGAGTCATGGAATTCCTTACCCAAGTTAGGCACTGACTTTTTCTTATTAATTATAAATCTATTTATTAAATTTATTTCTAATTTATCGTTAATATTAACGATATGTTAGTAATTATTTCTTATAAAATGATAATATGATGTATTTTAAATAATTTTTATATGTATAAATAATAATAAATATTAAAATATTTTAGGTAATATTTTATAATTACATTTGATTAGATTGTTCTTAATTTAGGTTTATTATCTAAAATCACAAATTATTATATGGAATAATATATAATATTCTTATTTATATCATAAGAGTAGTTATTTAAAATTTTAAAACATTTATATTAATGTGTTAAGAACTAAAATATTTGTAATTCAAGTTATTATAATTAATTAATTAATTATTAAGATAAATATGATAATCCTGCCTCCAAAATTCAGCCTTTAAGGAATTAACTGTAACAGAATTATTGAAATTATTGGGACCATTCTCAGGTAAAACATTTAATCATTGTGGGTGCCCCAGTGGCGCAACATAATGCATTGGAGTGGATTGTTTTTCCCACCAGATTTTTGTAAATCAGGTAGAATTAGATTGGATTCATTTTAATATTGTCATTTATTTGGTTCAACACGGTATTAAATATATAATTAATTATTAAAAAAGTTCCAATTATTTAAAAAACAAAACTATCAAATAAATAATAAATAATTTTTTAGAATATTATTATTATTATTATTATTATTATTATTATTACTTAAAACATTCAAAAATACAATTAATTGGCCGATAACTAGACATGGCCCGTGCGTTACGTGGGTATGTTTATTAAATGTTTTTGAAATATATTGTAAAGAAATTTATTCTAACAAAATAAACTAATTAGATTAAGATATAATAAGTGTTAAATTATACAAGTTTTAAAGTAAATCTAAATTGTATATATAGACAAAGTTATGTTAAGATAAAATTAATAATTGTACATGTATAATTATTAATATCAATTATAGATAGATGTTATTAAATCATTCATCCAACTTGAGAATATCACCTGAATATTATATGGTCTAATTATATTTTCAGGATCATCACCTTGTACAATTGATATTATTTTTATAGACATGTCTTTGATATTCAATGTTAGTATTTTGTTGTGAATCATGTATGATATTTAATATCACTTGAATATTATCAAGATCAACTATTTAAACTCAAAATTTATATTGACCTTCTGCAATTTCTGTAACTTATATTCATTTTCAAGTTGCGTTGTGCGGATATGCTTTTATATATATATATATTTTTTACATTATTATTGGTTTTTTTGTGTTTTAAATATATATTTTCTATATTGAAGTTCATTTTATATTGAATTGATAATTAAAAAATCAATAAATAAAATATCCACAAATTGAACTCAAAGTTTATATCATCATGGTTCTTCTCAAATATGGTACCATTTGACATTTGCTACCAAAGTTTAAAACTTTGTCAAGAAAAGCAAAAAAATTTGTAGGATAACCCACTGGGTATTATTGATAAGTCTATAAATTAATCAACGAAAGAGAAACCTTGTTGAAAAATATGAACTTTTAAGCAAGAGACTTGCAGAGCCGAAGAAAAAAATTGATTTTGATTGTTGAGAAGAGAAAATGAATTATTTTTATTATTATTATTTTAGAAATAAAAAAAAAATGTTGAGAAGAGAACTCACATAGAAAGCAACAACAACTTCAATAGTATAATCTAAAGGCAACTTAATTGAAGCATTGAAGAAGCCATAAAGATAAAGGTCTAGTGACACAAATCTATTTGCTGCAATTAGAATTGACCACCACCTATAACAAAAAAAACATTTGATGATAGCATCCTAAAGAAAGACAATAATTGTAAAACCCACAAATCAAACAACAAAATCAATTCAAAAATCAACAAAAAGAGATAGAACAAATACAATTAAAACTACATATCAATATTTGTTTTCCTTTGCCCTCACTAAAATTAAATTTGTTTTATGCGTGTGATGATAAAATAAATGGTTCGACAACAGGTCTATAGTTATCCTAATTGATCATATAATATATCAAATTAAACCCCCTATTTTTCTAGTTTTCAAAGATTCAAACCGCTCATCAATTGGATTTTTATTGAGCAAGTTATGACTAATTTACTACTGACTGTTCAGTAAAAATCGAGAAACAAGGGAAACCGAAATGTGTGTGATGATAAAATAAATGGTTTGACAGTGGGGCTACAATTATTCAAATGAAGGGTATAATATATCAAATTAAATCTCTATTTGTCTAGTTTCTAAAGGTTTAAACCTTTCATCAATTGGATTTTTATTGAGCAAGTTATGGTCAATTTACTACTGACTATTTAGTAGAAACCGAAATGTGTGTAATGATAAAAAGAATGGTTCGGAAGTGGAGCTAAAATTATCCAAATTAAGTGTATAATATATTAAATTAAATCTTTATCTATCTAGTTTCTAAATATTCAAACCTCTCATCAATTAGATTTTTATTGAGAAAGTTATGATCAATTTACTACTGACTGTTCAATGGAAACCAAAATGTGTGTGATGATAAAAGGAATTGTTTGACAGTGGGGCTACAGTTATCCAAATTAAGCGTATAATATATCAAATTAAAGCCCTGTCTGTCTAGTTTTTAAAGATTTAAACCTCTCATAAATTTTAGTTTTATTGAGCAAGTTATGGTCAATTTGCTACTAATTGTTTAGTGGAAATCTAAATATGTATGATGATAAAATGAATCATCTACTAAAGCTACATGGTTTAGCATCAAACATCAGTTGATATTTGTTAAATAAAAAAAATTAGTTATATTCAGCAACAAACTCTTTTCATGATATATGTATGTAACATAAAAGATATCATAAAAAAGAGATAAAATAATTACAATTAAAACTATATATCAATATTTGTTTTCCTTTAGGGGTTGTTTAGATCGAGTTGATATTAGATAACTGGAGTAATACTTTTTAAATTGAGCAAATGAAGATGTTTGGTTGGTTTGTAAAAAATTATTTTCGGAATATTTTATACAAACAGTTTCATTTAGGGGGTATATTTCCAGTAGTCTTAATACCCGGGGGGGAGGCTGTTATTAAAACTTACCCTGGTATTACAATTTTTTTTTCCCATAATGCCCCTAAACAGTTGAGCATTTGGTCCAAATTAACCTTATATCTGTTAATATTTGTTTTGTTTTCAACTTTTATTTGACTTAATTCTCTCAACAGTACGACCTAACAAATATATACACACTACAATTCCATATATACCCTTGACTATATAATAATATATATACATAGTTTTCAACACTCCCTCTCAAACTGGAGCATATATATCTATCATGTCTAGTTTGTTACAAATATATGTTACCTGTAACGCCCACATGGAGGTACGTAATTTAATTTATGTTCTTATGCCTTTAGTTGATTTTTGCTAAGGTTATTTTAAGGAAAACGTGAAGAAAATACCTTAAACTTGCATTAAGGGTAAAATGGTCTTTTCACTCAAAATTAGTTGAAATTGTGGGGAGTGAAAAGAGATAGAATTTCATGGAGAATGCAATAAAAATGAGGGCATTATGGTAATTGACTAAGGGACATAGATGAAATTTTAAAGAAAGTGCAAGGGCAAAATGGGAAACTAATATATAATTTTTATGTTATATCAAATTGAAGAGTGAAACCCTAGCCACTCTTACCCATATGCACGCCACTTTCACCTCCATATTCTCTCAAATTCTTCAATTCTTCTTCAAAGGAAATTCAAAGGTTTTGGGTGTTTTTTAGTGGATTTTCAATCTTAAGCTTCTATAGGTAAGATCCTTGCACTAAGAAGTGAATTTTAGTTTTTAAAGTGTTGATTTTGATGGTTTATGCTCATAGGATTTAAGAGGAAGAGAGTTTGATCAAAGGAGATTCTTAAAGGGTTGAATTTGCTCATATCAAAGGTAAGTAAATCCTACCCTAAGTGTGATTTAAGTTATGTTGTGTAGAGAATTTTCTTTGTGCATATATATATGTTATATGTGGAATTGTTGATGGATTTGGTGTTGAATAATAATTAGAATCTATCCATGAGAAGTTGGGTTGGTGTATGTGATACTTGATGAATGTTTGGTTGAGATTTGGAAGAGTTGAAGTGAAAATTTTGAAGTGTGTATTTTGGGCAGATTTGGAGTTAATTATGGAGGAGTTTATTCCAAGTTTTTGGTGGCCTAAAATAGAGATAGAAGTGTAGCCAAATTAGTGTTGATTTGTGCACATGAATTATTTGATGAAATGCCAAGAAGAAGTGCATGTATGAGTATGATTATGTGTTACCTTGGGATGTGTTTGTAGATGATAGAGAATGACATGTTGGCATTCCATAATGCATAATTGCATTTAAATATGTAAATTTAGAAAGAATTATAAGCATGAAACCATTTACATGCATATATATTCATAAGAGCATGAAAAAGCCCTAAAATATGTTAAAGAGAAAATTTTCTTATATATATTGTTAATGAGATTTATTATTTATTAATTATTTTCCGAGTATACTAGCTAGAAAGAAAGCATTAC